ATCCCACATACAGACCGGTTCCCGCTCACTGGCTGAGCGAGGCGCGGGAGCAACACCGAGGGTTGCAATCCCGTTGCCGGTCCCCGGTCCGGTACGGGGGCAACACTGAGGGTTGCGATCCATTGCCGGACACGGAAAAAAGACAAAAGACAAAAAAAAAAAAAGAAATTTAAATCTAAGAAAGAACTGATCCTGTCCCCAGCTGTAGTGGTTTGAATAGTGTCCTCCCCAAACTCACTGAAGCTTGAATGGTGTCCCCAAGTTTTATGAATTAGAAACTTAGTCCACACTGTGACTGTTAAGAGGATGGGAAATCCTATTACGGTAAGTGAAAGGTGGAGCCTTGAAGAGGTGACTGGATTGTAGGACCGTGCAGTCGTGAATGGATTAAAAATGGTGGTCGGGGGCATGGTTCTGAGGGCTTTAAAAGAGAGGAGAGTCTGTCTTTCTCTCTCTGCTCTCTGGTTCTACCATCTTGCAAGGTAGATGTCGCCACCACCAGAAGGATTTTGGACTTCCCAGCCTCAGAAACTGTAAACAATAAATTTCATTGTCTTTATAAATCACCCAGTTCCAGGTAATTTTGTTATATGCAACGGAAACAACTTTCATTTTAGAAGGGTCACTGAACTGAGAAGGTTCAGTTGACTTAAAATTTCCTTTTACAGTGTTATTTCCTCCTGCATAAACCCAATGAGGTAGAGAAACTTTAATAGCCTGAACATCTTTCCCTACAAGTAGGGCCCTGACCCTGAATTTGAAAGAAAAGAACACTAACAAATAAACATGACTGCACAACATACATTATCAGAACTACGTTTTTAAGAGCAAGAGAAAAAAAAAAAAAAGGTAGAAATACAACCACAGTCTCACAAGCCTGAATACAAAGAAAAACGGTTTCAAGATAATGAGAAGAAAAACATACCTTAGACCTGGTTCAAATAATTCAGATTCTGGTGAGCTTTCTGTACTATGTTTTAATTATAAACTATTAGCATAATTTCTAAAATACATCTTCCATATACAAAGAGAATTAAAGTTGGAGAATTGCCCTGTGGAGTCTTCAGATTAAAGGAGTTACCTCATGAAGGCAAAGTGATTGGGGAAGTAATAAACACACACTCCATTGTTAAAAAAAAAAAAAAAAAGGGCAGGGGGAGGAGAAGAAATCATCTCTAAGCCCATGAACACATTCCTAGGCAAAAATCTTCAAAAGTACTCATGGGGTTTACTAGGGCTGACTTCTGCCATACATTGATTCACCTGTAAGTACTCGTAAGAACTGGATGGTGCATCTAGTGTAACAGCCACCTTTTTTATATGTATGATTAATTTCTTATATTTTCATTTTTCTACAAATCCTCATGCCTCCAAGAAAGTCGATAAAAAGAGATGCAAAGGGGAAGTAGAACCCCTCCAAAAGCCAGGGCATATTCTGGTTTCAGAATGAGACCACCTGGGCTCACTTGCTGGGTAAGCTCTAGAAGTTACTTGAAGCCCTCCTGGATCCCTACTTTTACTTTTCTATAGCATGAGGATGACGATTTCATATCTAGGTCATAGCGTTGCTCTGAGGATTAAACGGGAGAGCATGTCTAAGGTGCTTGGCACAGTACCTAGGCAAATCGAGCACATGAAGACATGACAGAAACTACTATTATTTCAACACCAATGCTGTACTGACATTTAAGGCAATAACTTTTGTATACATCAACTGTTCACCAAGATCAGAATTTAGAAATAGATTATTAGTAACTCAGAGAGGAGAAAAATTGTATTTTGTGTTCTTCAACTAAGAGACATAATAATGCTCATATGTCTTAAGTTTAAAGTACACAATCTTGTCTCATTACCAGTGAGGAGTCTTTCCCTGGCTTCACCCCCATCTCCAGAACAGAAGGTAACTGACTAACATCCTGGGTCCCTGGAAGATTCTTCCATAGCAATGATGCAATGAAAGGCAGAAGAACAAAATGTTCCCGGGCCCTGTGACATTCTGGCTTGTTTTCGTACTAGTCCCCAAATGAGAACCAGAGATTTGATCATCAGAGGCTTTATTTTAAAAAGATGAAAAAGGCACAGTACCTCTAATCGTTGTATCCGTCCTTTAAAAAACATAAAGAGGGAAGAATTTGGATAAGCAGCTTCTTTTTTGAGAAGAATTTCCTTTGCTTCGTCCAGGCCTGCTTTATTATCGCTGCCGTCCAAGGCAAAAAATGGGCGGACCACAGTGTGATACCAGAGCAGAGCTAATCTAAAGGGAGAGAGAGAGACGCAGTGAGCACATCATGTTTCTTATACTCGTACTGTTCTATTTTTTTAAAAAATCAGTATATGTTCTTCCGATACGCATTCTTTCTAAATAGCTCACTATGCAGTCTTCAAAGAAGTAAAATCAGAGTATCTTTTCCCATTTTAATTTTGTCAATATTTGGAAAACTGCAACTTTAGCACAGCATATAAAATCAACATACTCCCTTCCATCAGGCAAGAGGAGAATAAGGTAACAGACACAGTTAGCTTTTCTGAACCTTCTAGATGGATCGCTGAAGATATGACTGATGTAAATCTCTGAATTCTACACCTTACTCACCAATGCACAAATTAGAAACAGTAACCGGTCACCATGAATTTACTGTATCCTCATAATAAAAGCTTTACTTTATTGTAAAAGGAAAATGTTGTTTTCTCTTATGTTCACAAAAGGTAGGGCATAAGCCTCAGAATACAAATTCAAATATAGAAACCACAGACACAAATTATACTAAATTGGATGAAAATAATTGAGAAGACCAGAGCAAGGGCCTTTTCTCTGGCCTTCAAGGATGCTCAATTTAAAAAACAAACTAATAAATAAATTATTTAAAATTCCTTTACTTCAAACACATTACTTTCAGGAACAATACCATGTTAAACCATGCAAACAAAATAGATTCATTGAGATTTGCTTTAATGAACAGACAAAAATATTTAAACAACATGTTAAATATTTTTTATGTAAATGTGTACTTCTAGTGTACTCATAAATTTGGTTCTCTTATGAAGCTCATACTAATTTACATTATTAATTCCATTCATTCCTTTCTCAGAAATAAGCACAAAAGAATATTAAGATATAAACAAACAAATGATCATAAGTTACAAATCTGTCAATTCAAATTAATAAAGAACCACTGTTTGTGTAATTTAATGAGTTTGGGGAGACACAAATATTTTTTTAAATGAAAAATTGATGGTATGTTTAATAGCTATCAGCTGACTAAGGTTTAATGACCAAATTTCTCAATACTGTCATGAATAGAAACAGAGTTAAGGTCCTCTGTGATATCAACTTTTTTTGGGAAAATTTGACAAGTGGTATAATGTTAGACAAAGAACATCTGGTGTCTGGTAAAAATTACTCAAATTATAAATGGTAGATATTTGCCAGATTGGAAAAAAAAAACATATCATTTTTTTAACTGATGTAGAAATGGGTGAATCCTTGCTCTAGACAGTTATATCAGCTCCCACCATGATCTCCTGTTTAAATAATTGTCATTTAAGTTTACACTGAACAATATAACTTGACTCAAGTTAGTGGAGCTGCACAAAATAGCCACACCACGTATAAGAAACTGGTTAATCAACTGGAATCATCAAGGAAAATTACCCAATATGAGGATTCTTTATAACAATAACAATTTCAGAACCACAGAAGAGGATCATCAAATTTGTATCTATCTAAGTCTGAAAATCGGGATCATGCATCTTAGTGACTGTGGTCAAAGACACAAAAACTGCTTATAAAATCATTTGAGGTTGAAAGATGTGGTCACTTTACCTGTTTAAAATATAGGACCCATGAGACTTCAGAACAGTGCCTTGTTCCCTAACTAAAGTCAGTTATAGCCACAGCACACCGTCCTCAGTGTTGCATCAAAAGACAAGGCACAGCATCGTGTCAGCCAACCAAGCATTTTACCTGAAGTTTTCTTTTAAAGTCTTTGATCGTCGTTTACTTACTTTCAACACTACATTATCTACCAAAGCATTGCAATATAGCTACTCACGTAGCTAAAGGGGCCTTCATGTCTTTACTTTCGCTTGCATACATCAGTGAAGAAAGCCCCTGTAGGCGGTCTCCAGGAAAACCCAGCAGGTTGATGATTTTGAGCAGGTTTGGGGGCACCATGGATATGCAAAGGTGAAAAAGGCCATATCCAAAGCTAACAGCACCTTTCAGTCTGTTTAGAGACTCCTCAGACACCCCTTCAGCCACAATGTGATTATCATTTGCAGCGTCAGAAGTCAAGGGCTCTTCAGTTAGCTTCTTCTGATACAGCTCCTGAAGGGCACTGATGTCCAGATAGCATTTATTGTAAATCTTCCAGGCTTTTCTAAGGATCCACCCACCTTTTATATATGCTATAAGGAAAAAGGAGAAAAACATTCAAAAATAAGCATTCAAAATAGTTTTTTGCGTTTGAATAATAAAGGATATTGGAAACCTAAAAATCGAGCAAAAATTTAAAAACATAAAAATTACTATCTATCACTGCACCCTGTTTTCTTTATAGCATTTACTTAGGTTTCTTATTTGTTGTCAGTAGGACCATAGGCAAGAACCATGTGTTTCATTGTTACATCAAGCTCTTCTTGCAGTAGCTGGGGTATAGTATATAATATATGTTGAAAGAAAGACAGCAAGAAAGACAGGAAGAAAGAAGAGAGGAAGAGAGGAAGGGAGGGAAGAAAAAAGGGAGGAAAAATGCATCACTTGAATTCAACTTTTTCTTTTCATGGGTTCTATGAAACCCTCCTCCGCTTCTCTGAACTACTGTGGCACTTTCCTGATAAACCTCTTTTATAATTCTTTCATTTGTCTACCTTGTTTCATTTCTGCTCAAAAGCAAGTTCTTAGTGCAGTTCACTGCTAAATTTATACCCAAGCACCAAGCATTCCACCTTGCCAAGCCTCTTTTATAATTCTTTCATTTGTCTACCTTGTTTCATTTCTGCTCAAAAGAAAGTTCTTAGTGCAGTTCACTGCTAAATTTATACCCAAGCACCAAGCATTCCACCTTGCCAAAAAATAAAACAAGCAAACAAAAAGTATTAAAGAACATTTACTGAGTAAACAAATGGCCAGTTTATTATCCAAAAAAGTCATTCACGCTCAATGCAGAAATGCAAAGAATCCCCAATTCACCTAAATCTGATGCTTCCTGTGTGGCTTAACCGCACCTTATTAGGATGGCTTTATTTGGTCTATGACAACAGTACTAACCAGTGCCCCAGCAAAGAGACGTCCACAGTGAAGATGGTGGCAAAGAGTAAGTTACTCGACACCAGAGGGTGAAAATCTGTCATTTTTAAAGCTGCTTCCATTATTTCTTATTAGGCCAATTTTTCTTAACAAAGCCCTCTTGAGAACATGTACCACAAGGCAGACGTCAAAGATAAGCGGTGAGACATGGGATCTACCTCCCTCCACGCCCTGCTGCTCCTCTCAGACAAGTCCTCAGGATGCTGCTGTCAACCCCTCCTCCCATGAACACTGTCACCTTCAGATGAGTATGGGGGGGTGTGAATTTATCTGTGATTATCTGAGTGCATCACCACCACATACAATACTCTGACCCTCAAGCACAAATTGAACACATGAACTGTCCCCAACTTCCAGGCCCTTTAGAACAGCATAAAAACAAGTTTTTAAAAAGTTGTTTACAGATCTCAGAAATATATAATATAAAATAAAATCTAATTTGTAAAATCACAACCCCTGAATTGGAAGTGATCTAAGATTATACTAGTATGGTATCTGTAGAAAATTGTTAACATAGCAGNCCCTCCTCCCATGAACACTGTCACCTTCAGATGAGTATGGGGGGGTGTGAATTTATCTGTGATTATCTGAGTGCATCACCACCACATACAATACTCTGACCCTCAAGCACAAATTGAACACATGAACTGTCCCCAACTTCCAGGCCCTTTAGAACAGCATAAAAACAAGTTTTTAAAAAGTTGTTTACAGATCTCAGAAATATATAATATAAAATAAAATCTAATTTGTAAAATCACAACCCCTGAATTGGAAGTGATCTAAGATTATACTAGTATGGTATCTGTAGAAAATTGTTAACATAGCAGGCCTGACTGCTATCCTTCAAAAGGCCTGCTAACAAGGTGGTTCCTTGGCTGGACTGGGAATTTGGATTTTGGGGGCTTTTTTACCATTCCCAGAACCTATAAGAGTGGCTCAATTTGTGTGTCTAAACTGTTTGTACAAATAATATGATTTATACTGAACACTTGATTTACTTCTGGGAGTCTGGAATTTGGGTATGTGCAAGGCATAAGGTGCGTACATGATCAGCCCCCAATAAGAACTCTGGGCATAGGTCTTTAACAAGATTCCCCACTGGTAACGTTTCATTCATGTTGTCACAACTCGTTGGTGGGAGAATTAAACACATTCAGCGTGACTCCACTGCGAGTGGATCCTTGGAAGCTTGTGCCTGGTCTTCCCTGGACTTTGCCCATGCACCTTTCCCTTTGATGATTTTGCTTTGTATCCTTTTGTTGTGAGAAATTATGGCTCTGAGTACAACTATATGCTGAGTCCTGTGAGTCCTTACAGCAAATTATCAAACCTGGGGGTGATCTTGGGGACCCCTAAACTGCAGTATCAAGCTATCATTTTACTTAAGCCTATCGATTTTCTGACAAATGATGACTACATCTCCTATTGGATCACAATGAAAACACAACCATCCTATAAGTTCTGGGTAATTGCTGTCCCACACTCTATGTCTACTGAAAAGAATGCTATAAGACAGAATAAGCAAGAAAACAAATGTCTATAAAAGTTCTTTTAAGGGAACTATTTTTAATAACATTATGATTATAAAAGTAATACACATTTGAAACAATTTTTTATTCAGTTCCATTTAACAGACAGATCTACTGCACAAATATTACATTTCAGGTACTGTTCTAGGTGAATCAAAGAGAAATAAGACATAGTTCCTTCCTTTAAGAGGCTCACAAATTTGGCTTCTTGTCAAGATGGTGGAATGGATGGTCCCCAGTGTCACTTTCTCCCACAAATCAATCAATTTGCAACTATTGGAGGGCAGTAATAGCCAAGCTGGGGCTGCTGGGGATCAGGGGAAAAGGAGGAGAGACCTAAAGAGTGCATGAAGGTGGGAGAAGCCATGATGAGAGAAAGAACGAACCTCTCCAACCTTTGTGAGCCCCTGCCGCTCCAAGGCTGGAGCTGGTGAGTGCATGGAGCAGGGCTGGCAAAAAACTGCAGCTGCGCCCTTTGGATGATGTTGCTTGGAGGTGGCAGGGGAGAAGAGGGCCTTGGTGGCCTCCAGGCCAGCAAGACCACTAAAAGGGTTCCTGTGGACCCACATAGGAGGAGCCACAGACAACTGAGAAAGGAGCCACTCAGAGGCTGGTGAGTCACTGCAAGGGACCAGCACATGGCCCGCCCCATGGGAAGTGATTGGAGCATGGTCTGTGGGGGAGATAGGCCCACCGGGAGAACACTGGGGCACAGCATGGACAGCTGATCTGCCCCCCAATCAGTGCAGAACCGCTCAGTGGAGACTGGTCAGGAATGCAGATCTGCAGGGGGTGCAGTTCGCTGAAAGGACTCAGGTCCAGACCAGAGTTTCCATACAACCCAAGGTGTACCAGATCTCATGAGACCCAGAAGTGCCTATAAAGTCAACCATTAAAACCTGAGCTGCACAGAAAGCCTTCCTAGGGAATTAGCAGCAAAGCAACAATTTAGCTCAACCACAGAGCTCAGGTGCTGGTCCCCACAGGAAGTTCTCCCATTCTAGAAGTAAGCAAAGGACAATAGATTGGTTCCAGTGCAGAGTTTAAGTAGTGGGAACAGCAAGTAATCCAACACAGAACTGTAAGAAAAAACAAAGTACCCACAGACCAGAAACAAAGTTTGATACTAACTAGTGGGGGTCTCACATCACCAAGGAACACCTATAAAATCTAGAAGGACCAGAAGTCCCCTGGACTATCAAGCCAGGTAGAGGGGAGAGCTGGGGTCTCCAGCCATGCCCCCTGACACCTGCAACCAGCCCAGCAATGACCACTGGGCAGCCCCAGGAAGCACACCTGGCTCTCCCGAGCTGGGGCGGTCGGGGGCCAAGGGCCTCAGCCACACCCACCCACACACCTGCAGCCAGACCTGCAATGACCACTGAATCACCACAGGAAGTACCCTGGGTTCTCCCAAGCTGGGGCAGTGGGGGGCTAGGTCTTCAGCCACACAGCCCTGACATCTCTACCCAGCCCAGTTATGACCAAGCCACCACTAGAGGCCCTCTGGCCTCTCCTGCAGGGATGAGGGGCATGCCATAGGCCTCAACCCTGTCCCTCCTCCTTCCTCCTTCTCCTACCCTATTTCTTTCCCCTTCCCCTCTGCCCCTCCCCCCAACTGCTCCTCAACATCATAGAATGTAGAAAAATAGTATTAATAAATAAACTTAAAAAAAGAAAAGAGGCTCACAAATTTTTTTCCTTCCTAAATAGAAGTACTATGGGAAAACAAAGATTTGAGAAAATACTGAAGTTTCTTTGTATGCTAACGAAGTGGATTTTTAAAGGTTTCGATTGATCCAACATGCATGCTTACAAACAAGAAAGATGATTCTCAGTTACAATCCAAAAAGCCAAAGATTTAATTAAAAAGCAGAAAAGAAAAAATAAGTAAATAGGAAACTAGAATACAGTACATAGTCTCAAGAACACAAAAGGAATTGGGATCTCTAATTGAAAACAAATTATCATCGGCTACAGATAAAAAAAGAAAAGAAAATTTGCAAAACGCTAAAAATGTTAATCCGCTATTAGTTACATTTCTATTATGTTCCTGGGATGGTGCTTGGTATTGGAGGGACACAAAAGAACTCTAACATAATCTCAGCCCTCCAAATGTCCACAATAAAAATAGGAAACAAACATAAATGAAAAATAAGCATGCATGTAAGACAATATATATATTTAAATGGTCCACTGGGTCATATGTAGAAAAAGTAAAAACAAATAACACTGAAATTGATATAGGAGGTGTTCAGTTTCCCTGGGCTTGGGTTTCAGGTAAAAACAAATAATGCTGAGATGGATATGGGAGGTGCTCAGTTTCCCTGGGCTTGGGTTTCAGGTACACCTCTGGGTTTTAAGCCACTTGCCCAGGTCTCAGGCCCCTCCTCTGGGACCTCCCCCAGAGGAAAGCTACTGTTGCCAGTTAGACCTATTTTCAGTACCAAAATGAGGGAAATGAGACCACAAAGGGCTGGCTTATGCAAATCCAGTGGCTGAGCATGCTCAGTAAAGTGAAGTCTATCCTCTGAATGACCGTCCACTAGAGGTGCTAGAGAGCACAGAAT